GGGGGGTGTATAGTGGTATCACATTTTGGTTTAACTTGCATTTCTCTTCAAACTGATGAAGTTAAACATATTTTCACAAATTTATTAGATATTAGGATATTCTGGTTTTTTGAAGTATTGTTTTAAGGTGTTTGCCCATTTTTCTATTGAATTATCTGTCTTTTTAAAATTTATTTGTAAGAATTTTTTTTTAATTTTTTTTTCAACGTTTTTTATTTATTTTTAGGACAGAGAGAGACAGAGCATGAACGGGGGAGGGGCAGAGAGAGAGGGAGACACAGAATCGGAAACAGGCTCCAGGCTCCGAGCCATCAGCCCAGAGCCCGACGCGGGGCTCGAACTCACGGACCGCGAGATCGTGACCTGGCTGAAGTCGGATGCTTAACCGACTGCGCCACCCAGGCGCCCCTGTAAGAATTCTTTATACATTATAGATATGAGCCATTTGTCAGATATATGTGTTCCTTATGTCTTTCCTAGTTTGTGGCTTGCTTCCTTATTCTTTTAATTGTCTCCTGATGAACAGAAGTTTCTGATATTAATAAAGTACAATTTACAATCATTTTTATCCTTCATAATTAGTGATTTTTGTGTCCTCTTTAAGAATACTGCCTACTCCAGGGGTGCCTCAGTGGCTCAGTTGGCTAAGCATCCAAATCTTAATCTCGGCTCAGGTCATAATCTCACAGTTCATGCACAGAACCTGCTTGGGATTCTTCCTCTCCGTCTTTCTCTGCCCCTCCCCTGCTCACACGTGCTCTACCTCTCCAAAATAAATAAATAAACTTTAAAAAACCCAATAATGCCTACTCCAAAGTCATGAAGATGATTTCCTCTGTATTTTACATTAGAATGACATTTTTACTTTTCCCACTTCGATCTGCAATTCATTGGGTGTTTATTTTGTGTGTTATTTAGGGTGGAGTCAACATCATTTCTTCACATATAGATATCCAGCTGATCTGATACCACTTTTTGGGGAAAAAAATCCTTTCCCCACTTCACTGCACTGTCATCTTTGTCATAAATCAAGTGACATGTGTAGGTATGTTTCACAGGTCTGTGCATGCATGTGTGTACACAAATATGTTAATCTTTTAGACCATATGCTATTTATTCATAATTTACTCACTATAGCATTGTACTAAATTTGGTATCTAGAAGTGGAAGTCTCGATGCTCCCTTCACTGTTACCTTGGCTATATTTGGTTCTTTGCATTTGGATATACAGAGTTTGGATCTGCTTGTCAACAAAAAATAACTAGCCAAGATTTTTATATAGATTGCATGAATTTAAACATCAAATTGGGACCAATTATATGGATTGCATGAATGTAAACATCAAATTGGGAATAATTGACAACTATACAATATTGAATCTTTCGGGGCATCTGGATGGCTCATTTGGTTATGCATCTGACTCTTGGTTTTGGCTCAGGTCATGATCTCATGGGTTCGTGAGTTTGAGCCCTGCATCAGGCTCTACACTGACACCACGGAGCCCACTTGGAATTCTCTCTCTCCCTGTTTCTCTGCTCCTCCCCCACTCTCTTAAAATAAATAAACTTTTAAAATATTTAATCCTTAAATCCATGAACCAGGCATATCTATAATTATTTAGGTCTTCTTGAATGTTTCTCAAAATTATTTCTTAATTTTTAGTGCAGAGGTCTTGCAACTATTTAATTAGATTTATTTCCAGATATTTCATTTTTAATCAGGATTTTTTATCCTGGATTTTTTATCAGGATTTTTTAAGGATATAATTATCAGGGTATAATTTTATCAGGATATAATTACATACAATAAGATACATACACTTTAACTATACAGTTCAATGATTTCAACAAATGTATTAGCCAGTAGAGTCACTACCTCATCAAGATACAGAACATTTCCCTCAGCTGAGAAAGTTCTGTTATGCCCCTTTTACAATTAAAAAAATAATTCCAACCTTCAAGCCAGGCAAACACTGACTTGACCCAATTTACATCAATATAAATTAATTTTGCCTCTTCCCACACTTTATATAGATGGAATCACACAGAAAGCACTCTTTTGTGTCTGATATCTTTCCCTGAGTATAATAGTTTTTTTTTTAGATTTATCTATGCTATTGATTGTACCGGCAGTTTATTCTTTATTATTCCTTAGTTGTACCCTAGCATATGACTATATCACAATTTGTTTATACATTTCCTGGTTGATGAACATTTGGATTGTATCCAGTCTGGGGCTATCATAGATGAAACTGCCATGAACATTTTTATTCAAATATTTTTGAGGAAATATGGTTTGAATTCTGTTTGGGAAAATTCCTAAGAGTGAAATTTCTTGGACTTATGGTAAGTGTAAGTTTAACTTTTAAAGAAACTGTCAAAAAGTCTTTCAAAATGGTTGAACTTCTCATCAACAATGAATGAGGAATGAGTGCTCCAGTTGTTCCATATCCTCTAAAATACTAGGGATTGTCAGACTTTTTAATTTTAGCAATTCTGATGGCTGTGCAGTGGTACTTAATTGGGTTTTTTGTTTGTTTGTTTTACATTTCCCTGATGATTAATAACATTGAGCATCTTTCCATGAGCTCTTTGGTGATTTGTACATGAACTTTTCTGAAATGCTTGTTCAAATCTTTTGATCATTTTTAATTGCATTGCTTGCCTTATTTTGAATTTTAGGAGGTCTTTATATGTTTTCTGGACACAAACATTTTGTTGGTTACACATTTTTTTCTTGGCTTCCCACCTCATTTCTTAACCATATCTTTCATATCTTTCATAGAGCAGAAATTTTTAAATTTAAATTCAATTTCTATGTATACTCCATTACTACTCTACTTTTATTACATCTTTAATTTTTTTTAAAACATTCATTTATTTTTTTTATTTTTTTTTCAATGTTTATTTATTTTTGGGACAGAGAGAGACAGAGCATGAACGGGCGAGGGGCAGAGAGAGAGGGAGACACAGAATCGGCAACAGGCTCCAGGCTCTGAGCCATCAGCCCAGAGCCCGACGTGGGGCTCGAACTCACGGACCGCGAGATCGTGACCTGGCTGAAGTTGGACGCTTAACCGACTGCGCCACCCAGGCGCCCCTAAAACATTCATTTATTATTGAGAGACAGAGAGAGACAGACCATGAGCATGGGAGAGGCAGAGAGGAGGAGACACAGAATCTGAAACAGGTTCCAGGTTCTGAGCTGTCAGCACAGAGCCTGACACAGGCCGAACTCAGAAACAGGGAGATCATGACCTAAGCTAAGGTCGGATGCCTAACCGACTGAGCCACCCAGGCGCCCCTACTTTTATTACATTTTACGTCTATAAATCAAATAGTATAATTCTCCACATTTGTGGGGTTTTTTTCCAAATTATTTTGTTTACACTAGGTCTTTCTCGTTTCCATATAAATTTGAGGGTAATTTTGTCAAGCTATACAAATATGGCTGCTGAAATTTTGATTTTGAATACACTAAATTTATAGATTGGTTTGGAGAGAATTTAGCTTACCAGTACTGTATTTCCTGATCCAGGACCTTGTTTTATCAAATTTATACGTAAGTATTTCACCTTTTTGGAAGCTATCATGAAATTATATATTTTATCATTATAATTATATATAGATAATAATTTCAATTTCCAATTATTCATCACTAAAACACAGGAATACAATGGATTTTTATAATATCTATCTATAACTGCAAACCCACGAAATTAAAGTACTAGTTCTATAGTAGGTTTATTGTAGATCCCTTAGGATTCTTTAAATACATGATCATGTGATTTGTAAATAAAAACTGCTTTTTGAACTATAAATTTATGAAGGAATTTTAATTTTTGATGTTGTTTTAGTTCTGAAAATTCATCAAGACTCTGCTGCACTACGGTCTAATTGGCTCATCTCATGGAAGGGATTCAGGTATCTAGGGGCCCCTAACAAGAGGAGCCATCAGCTGCCCTGTTTTTTTCCAAGTTCTAAAAAAGAAGCTGACTGTATAGTCTATATTTATGTAATGACTTATCAGAAGAGACAGATGGTTGGGTTCCCCCCAACTTTAATTCTTATTTTCAAATAAAAATAACTAAAGTATATTGATTTGGGAGGATTTAATATAAAAAGAACAAAACAGATATTAAGAATTTTTAAAAATCCACTCTCCTGGGCTCTTTTCCTCACTCATCTCTTCTGCGCATTTAAAATTCTTTTTAACGTTTATTTATTTTTGAGACAGAGAGAGACAGAGCATGAACGGGGCAGGGTCAGAGAGAGGGAGACACAGAATCTGAAACAGGCTCCAGGCTCTGAGCTGTCAGCACAGAGCCTGACACGGGGCTCGAACTCACCGACCATGAGATCATGACCTGAGCTGAAGTCGGAAGCTTAACCGACTGAGCCACCCAGGCGCCCCTCTCCTACACATTTTAAAAGTGGAGGGAAAATGGAGAGAGAGCACTAGTAGCAGAAAAGACAGCAAGTGGAAGAAAGCATATCCTTGGAGCAAAGAAGGGGAAGAAGCAAGTCCCCAGAGAAGAACTGGGAATGGTCAACAGGCCCCTGAGAAGATACTGCCCTTCCCAGGCAAGCAGAGAAAAGCCCAGGAATATACAAAGACGAAGAGTCACAGAGCCCAGCCTGGAGTTACTTCGAAGGACGAGGAGGCAGAGGGAAGGTGCGCAGACCAATCAGCTCTGCGCCACCTAGCGGGCAGCAAAGGGCGCGGGATGGGGGTAGTGCCGCTCGCGGTGACGAAGGCCTCACGTGACCCGCCAACGGTGACTCGAGCGCCTAGCTCTAGCGTCAGACTGGGCCGGCGCTCGCTCCCTTCTCGGTACCTGCTCCCGGTGGCCCTGAGGGCGTGCGGGACAGGGGCAGCCCCAAAGGGTTGGAGGCGGAGGGGGAGCAGGTAAGGGACCCGGAGGAGGGGGAGCGTCCCCTGGGCTCGGTGTGGGAGAGCCCACGCGGCCCGCGGAGCCCTCTTCGGGTTCCAGCTGCCCGATGGCGAAGCCGCGGAGGGACCGCAGCCTCACGCCCAGCTGCGGACCGCGTTTGGCCGCAGAAAATGGTAGGGTGGAGGGCTGGACCGCTGTGAGGCAACGACCCTTTGCAAACACCTGCCTCCTGCACGCCCGGCCCCGCCCCCGTCCTTCTTGGTGTAGAAAATGGTGGTCTGCGCGGGGCATGGGGGGTCTTGGCGTAGGGGTGGGAAGGCCGTAGGGTCCCGGGGCCTAGGAAGGGCTGGGTGGCGACGGGTTGGACCCAAGCGCTGGTTGCATCAGTCCCCGCTCCCTTACTCCCGCCCTCTGCAGGTGTGCGGGTCTAAGTGTCGCAGCGGCGCACTCGCGGCTAGAATCGGGAGGAGGAGACTGCAAGGATAGGCCCAGGTCGGTGTGGGGGATAGTGGGGGGGGGCGGGGGGAACGTGTGGAAAGCCCTGAGACCCCCAAATCCCCCGCCCCACCAAACAGCCCGTCCTCCATCTTGGTGCCCGCAGAGGCCTGGGCTTGGATAGGCAGGGAAAATGGTGGGCTTTGCGCGAGGGAGGGGAGAGGAGCGACTGGGAGGGGGTAGGGCTCTTACTGAGGGCCCCCTAGAGGGCGTAGGGAGCCTCTCAGGTGGGAAAAATGAAATTTTAAAAAGGCTAAGAGATCCAGGGCTCTGAATCTTGGAATGTGCGTAGTAGGGCCTCTGTCCTCGGTGCTGATCAGTCCTGATAAATCCTTCTCTGTCTTTTGTCTCTTAGGAGCAATGGCGTCCAAAGAGGAACAAGCAGTAAAAAATCTCAACATGGAAAATG